CTAGAGTAGCTCCATGCAGAGCATTGTAGACATAGAAAAACTGCAAAATACATACGGCTCTGTATATTGCAGACCTGTTGACTAAACTTCTCTCACAAACAAAACATGATCACACCTTAGTACTCTTTGGGTGTTAATCACATAGCGATGTGAACTACATTATTAACTCTAGTAAACCCTTTGTGTGTTGGTCACATGGCGATGTGAACTATGGGTGTTAATCACATACAGATGTGAACTATTGGTGTTAAATCACATGGCGATGTGAACTAGATTATTGTCTCTAGTGCAAGTGGGAGACTGAAGGAAATATGCCCTAGAGGCAATAATAAAGTTATTATTTATTTCCTTATATCATGATAAATGTTTATTATTCATGCTAGAATTTTATTAACCAGAAACTTAGTGCATGTGTGAATACATAGACAAAACATAGTGTCCCTAGTATGCCTCTACTTGACTAGCTCGTTACTCAAAGATGGTTATGTTTCCTAACCATAGACATGTGTTGTCATTTGATGAACTGGATCACATCATTAGGAGAATGATGTGATGGACATGACCCATCCGTTAGCTTAGCATTATGCTCGTTACAGTTTCATTGCTACTGCTTTCTTCATGACTTATACATGTTCCTCAAACTATGAGATTATGCAACTCCCGAATACCGGAGGAACACCTTGTATGCTATCAAACGTCACAACGTAAATGGGTGATTATAAAGATGCTCCATAGGTGTCTCCGAAGGTGTTTGCTAGGTTGTCATAGATCGAGATTAGGATTTGTCACTCCGTGTATCGGAGAGGTATCTCTGGGCTCTCTCGGTAATGCTCATCACTATAAGCCTTGCAAGCAATGTGACTAATGAGTTAGTTACGGGATGAAGCATTACGGAACGAGTAAAGAGACTTGCCGGTAATGAGATTGAACTAGGTATGATGATACCGACGATCGAATCTCGGGTAAGTAACATACCGATGACAAAAGGAACAATGTATGTTGTTATGCGGTTTGAGACGTTTGACCGGCAAAGATCTTCGAAGAATATGTAGGAGCCAATATGAGCATCCAGGTTCCGCTATTGGCTATTGATCGGAGATGTGTCTCGATCATGTCTACATAGTTCTCGAACCTGTAGGGTCCGCACGCTTAACGTTCGATGACGATTTGTATTATGAGTTATGTGTTTTGATGACCGAAGTTTGTTCAGAGTCCTGGATGAGATCACGGACATGACGAGGAGTCTCAAAATGGTCGAGACATAACGATTGATATATTGGACCATGTTATTCGGACACCGGAAGTGTTCCGGGTAGTGTCGGGTAAAAATGGAGTGCCAGAGGGGTTACCGGAAACCCCGGGGGAACTAATAGGCCACCATGGGCCTTAGTGGGGAGAGAGGAGGGCCGCTAGGGCAGGCCGCGCCCTCCCCTTAGCAGTGCGAATTGGACAAGGGAAGGGGGGGCGCCCCCATTCCTACTCCCTCTTCCTCTCCCTCTCCTTCCTTCCCTCCTCTTCCTTGTTGAGGAATCCTACTAGGACTAGTAGTCCTAGTAGGACTCCCTCGCCCCCTAGGGCCGGCCGGCCTCCTCCTCCCTCCTTTATATACGGGGACAGGGGCACCCTAGAACACACCAAGTCTTCTCTTAGCCGTGTGCGGTGCCCCCCTCCACAGTTACACACCTCGATCATATCGCCGTAGTGCTTAGGCGAAGCCCTGCGCCGGTAACATCATCATCACCGTCGCCACGCTGTCATGCTGACAGAACTCACCCTCGTCCTCAACTGGATCAAGAGCACGAGGGACGTCATCAAGTTGAACGTCTGCTGAACGCGGAGGTGCCATATGTTCGGTACTTGGATCGTTTGGATCGCGAAGAAGTTCGACTACATCAACCGCATTACTAAAACGCTTCTTCTTTTGGTCTACGAGGGTACATGGACACACTCTCCCCTCTCGTTGTTATGCATGTCCTAGATAGATCTTGCGTGATCGAAGGAATTTTTTGAAATTGCTACGTTCCCCAACAAGTAGCATAGTAGCATGATAGTTTTGATGATAGCAGCAGTAGTAACAGTAACAGTAACAGTGATAGTAGTGATATTGTAGCAGTAACGATAGAAGTAGCAACAATAGTAACTTAGCAAGAACAATATATGATAAATTCGTAGGCATTGGATCGGTGACTCGTTGGATGATATTCATCATGAGACGGTTATAACCTAGGGCGATACGGCACTAGCTCCAGTTCATAAATTTAATGTAGGCATGTATTCCATAAATAGTCATACGTGCTTATGGAAAGAACATGCATGCCATCTTTTGTCCTACCCTCCTGTGGCAGCGGGGTCCTATTGGAAACTAAGGGATATTAAGGCCTACTTTTAATAGAGAACTGGAACAAAGCATTAACACACGGTGAATACATGAACTCCTCAAACTACGGTCGTCACCGGGAGTGGTCCCGACTATTGTCACTCCGGGGTTGCCGGATCATAACACGTAGTAGGTGACTATTACTTGCAAGATCGGATCAAGAACATGGATATAATGGTGATGACATAAACGGTTCAGATCTGAAATCATGGCACCCGGGCCCAAAGTGACGAGCATTAAGCATGGCAAAGTCATAGCAACATCAATCTCAGAACATAGTGGATACTAGGGATCAAGCCCTAACAAAACTAACTCGATTACATGATGAATCTAATCCAACTCCTCACCGACCAGCGAGCCTACGAAGGAATTACTCACTCCCGGTGGGAAGCATCATGAAATTGGCGATGGAGATGTGTTGGTGATGACGAAGATCGAAGATCCCCCTCCCCGGAGCCCCAAACGGTCTCCAGATCTGCCCTCCCGAGGAAGAACAAGGCTTGCCGGCGGCTCCGCCTCGTGAAATGCGATAATTCTTTCTTCCTTATTTTTTTCTGGAAATATGGGATTTTATAGCGTCGGTTTGAGGGTCAGCGGGGCCACTAGGTGGGCAGCACCCACCAGGGCGCGCCTCGGGGGCTGGCGCGCCCTGGTGGGTTGTGCCCACCCAGGTGCTCCGCTCAGGTCCCTCCTGGCTCCAGAAATTCTCTTATTTGATATAAAAAAAACCTCGCAAAGTTTCGTTCCATTCCGAGAACTTTTATTTCTGCAGAAAAATAACACCATGGTAGTTCTGCTGAAAACAGCGTCAGTCCGGGGTTAGTTTCATTCAAATCATGCAAATTAGAATCCAAAACAAGAGGAAAAGCGTTAGAAAAAATAGATACGTTGGAGACATATCACCCACCAAGCAATCCTTAGAAGCTCCCCTCTTTTTTGGTCCAGCAGCTGGAGGGATTTCTTCAGCAGCTTCAATTGGTGAACCGAGGACAAGATGATCCACTGATGAAGAAGAAGACTTATTTTTCCCCGAATAATCCGGAGATCCTTCCACACTACACCCTGAAAACAGAAATCATTTCGAGAAGTCCATGAGCTCCACATGGTAGCAACCCCAGCAATACCATAAACAATTTCTTTGTTATTCCCAATCCACAAATTGGACATGACAGAAAGATTAATATCAGCAGAGAAACCAAATATGTCGGCAATATCTATCCATATATTACATTTGGAGAGCTTCCTGTTCACCATAGAAAAGGCAAGAAATATCATCCAGGTGTTGTCTTTTAAAAAGATTGTCTCTTGTTAAAACCTTATTATGAATAGCTAACCAAACAAAAACTTTTAGGGATTGTAGACACATTATTCATGTTGGATTTCTGCTTTTTGGTCTTCCCATGTGTATGAGTGTATCACATTTTATATATCTTGTGAACATCCAAAAAGTTTTTTGGTTTTCAAAAGACATTTAGATTTGAATTTTATGTGCTAAGAGCATCTACAAATGGATGCCTCAAACCATCTCTCATACGTCCGCGGACACGTCCAGTCAGTAACCGGGCAGGAGAGAAAGGGAAAAAGTGACCCAACCGGATCCTTCATATCATCCCTATACATGCCCGTTGTCTGCGAACCCTCATATTCATCTCAAATGTAGGGAGGATATGAGGGTTCGCGGACGCGTCCGGTCAGTCCATCACGTAGGACGCGACCCTACGCCAGACCACCTTTTTCTTTTTGTTTATTCATTTTTTTTCTCTCTCTTTTCATCTCCATCAATCACGGGCAAGTGAACGGACACAAGAAAGAAAATGAGGATTGTGGCTACGCGGACAGACAAATAGGGACTCAAAACGGACATATCCGGTCGCATCTGCGAACGTTTGAGTAGTTGAATTAGAGGTACGTGGCTTTAGATGCTCCGATGCCACAGTACGCAGTTCACGTAAAAAGTACTATCACTGAATACTTTTCCTGTGAAAATGAAAGCAAATCCAAAAATTGAAATTATGTAGTAATCCCTCCGTCCGGAAATACTTATCGCATAAATGAATAAAAATGGATGTATCTAGAATTAAAATACGTCTAGATACATCCATTTGGCTGACACTAGACGGAGGGAGTAGTACGTATCATTATTTCCTGAAATTGTTTGCCCGTTTAGTTCCACCACATATTCGTAGAGCGCACACGAATATGCTGCAAAAGCTCTACCCGACACCCAATCTATGATGATTGACACTTGAGAGGTGCAACCAACAGCACACCGACATGTCACCTAACCGAAAATGAAATGGAAATAAATATGCGCGGTGCTGGTGCACGTTGCTTTTTCGCGCAGGTCGATATCACAGGGCAAAGTGGGCAAAGGGGAAGGGCATATCTCCTTCTGAAACCATAAGCAAAACGAGCATATGCTTATTATGTACTCCTACTCCGTACATTCTCCTTCCGAGCGCAAACTTGAAAATGAGGCATGACTGAGCACAGAGCGTATCTCCTTCAGAACAAAGAACAAAATAACAGTTCGTGATATCCTTAAGTCGCCGGCCGCTTCATTTTTAGGCATCTGCAGTTTGCAAACTGGGCGAACCTGTAGAGGCGATAATGCCCAGACTGTTTACACAGTCTCCACATCGGGTACGGATTCGGCAACGGCATCTTCAGGCCCAGCATCCTTCTCGACGAAGTCGTACCCATACTCCTCCTCTGAAGCATCCTCCTCCGCGCTTCTGCCAAACATGAAAGGCCTCTTGCCCATCGTCGTGAAAGGCATCAGTCCCAGTGCACGCGCTGTCTTAATCTCCCTCGCAACCTTGCGCTGAGCTTTCGCGCTTATCTTGGTCTGGAGAGCGGATCAATTAGTTAGAAACAACAATGGGCCAGGAAATACAGATACATCGGCAAAGAACATGAATATGTTTGTGAAGCTGACCCTAAAAATTGACAAAGAGATGATACATACATGTCACACCTTAATTACAATATAGATTAAGCATGAAAAGGTTTGTATTCGACGAGCATGAACATGAAAACACCTCAACAACAACATCATCAGCGAAGGGGAACATTTAAAATAAACTAATATCTCCATAACAGTAACATTTAAAACATAATTAAAGGGCAGTTGCTACTTGAAATCTGACACTACTTCATAAAAAAGGTGTCATTCATCTCTGAAGAAGAGAGTATGCATTATTGGCAACAATCTGAGAAAGTAAGCTCTGAATTTATATTATATATCAGGAAGACAGGAACCTCTCCACCCAAAATTTTCTTATTTTACATATAAGCCAGGAAAAGTACCCTATTACCTGACTCCTCTTGATGATAATGCCAGCTTCTGTAAGAAAGTTGGAGAGGAATCTAACATTCTGCAAGGAATAATTACTGCGGTCAGAAACTGCAACTTGTTTAAGACAATTGTAATAGCTCAAGATATCGAAATGCATGAAGCAGATCAAAGTTAGCCTCTCGAAAACTATGTATCCATGTATGAAGGTCTCTATCCGATGGGTATTTATTTAAATAAATTGGTCACAAACCACCAACGATAAGCAGTTTAGTCATACACTGCTTAAGCAAAGCAACATCCAACCAAAACATTACCGCATTTGCATCTTACCAAGCTACATAGCTTCAACACCATTACTCGTTACTCCCTCAAAATGTAGGCAGTATTTTTATTGGCCAAGACAAGGTTTGAATTCAATGAAGAGCAGGCCTCGTGCAGTGGTAGAGTATCTCCACTTGTGGCCTGGCGGTCCTGGCTTCGAACCAGCATCCTTGCAGAATTATTATGCAAGGTTAAGGCTGTCTAGAAATTCCCTCTCCAGACCCCACCTTGTGTGGGAGCTTTCACCACTAGGTACGCCCTTTTAACAAGTACTTGTACTGTAACTTTGTATCACATAGACCACACATTAAAAGGTTAGTTGTTGGTCAAAACCTTATCTTAACCAATCAAAATCCTATATTTTGCGACGGAGAGTGGACAGTTTTTTCATGTGTCACTTTCCCTGTAACCCCCCACACCCTGAGCTCGATTGCCAATCTTGCCATCTCACACGAGCTCAATTATAATAGACTAGTTCCATTACGCTGCCATGTGTGGCGGCAAGAATAACGATGTGAGAGGCTTCTACAGACTCCCCAAGAATTTTTATTTTGTTAGTTGCGACCGGCAAAGGAAGATTTATTTTTTCCTTATATCAACTGTATGCCAAGGTTATTCGATTTTTTAAAAAAGTTCTGCTTGTAGCTGTCAATACACATACGTTTATAAGTTTTTCATAGGGGAAGGTATGGATGGTGCCTGTTGCCAAGCACAGGACATGGAGGACAAAACAATTGGAGTGTGTCTGTTCTTCAAGAAGGTTTTAGCAATATGTATTTTGGAATTGAGAGATCAATTATAGAACAAGCCTGATGAGCAAGCTCTAGGCAACACGAACTAAAGATACCACAAGGTCATTTTTCGTTTGGCAAGGAACAAGTTTACTGTTGTGCTTGAGAAGATTAGGGCTATGGTTGCTGCAAGTTTTCTTTGTGCTGATTGGGTTGTAGGCTAGCAGAACTTGCTTAGTGATATGGTCTTGCTCTTGAAAAGTTTCTACTTTTGTTTGTGCTGATTGGCATTTTGTTCATCTTCTTCTGCAATGCAGGTGTTGCAATACTAACCTGAAGTAGGCAGGGGTTTATGTGGTAACGCGCGAGTGATTTTTGGAAATAAGAAAGGAAAATAGGAAAATAAGTATGTTCCATGCCCATATAACATCCTAATCTGGCTTTGGCACTTGCGGTGTTCTAGTATTGGCATCTAAACATCGAGTTAGAAAATTAGAAGAATGTGAGGCAATAACCCAAATCAACAAAATAATAAGCAACGTGTCAGTTTAACTATACTGAACTTGTTAATAATTGCTACACTAAAATACGGCGAAAGAAAGCATCAACAGAAAATGCCAGAATCCTAACAAGCTTAGGGTAGTGTCACAAGATATTTGGACAAATTAGCACAGATTTAATCACGGATGAAGTGGAGTTTGGGGGTTACCACAGTCATTGTATTCCTGAACTTTATACCGGTTAACAGTTTTAGAGTCTACAAGCTGCCAAAGTAGTGTAAAATCTACCATTTAATTTTAAACAAAAGCTGTGGCCAGTGTACATAGGTTGCCAAGCAGATTCACTCACCCTAAAATCAGCTTTCCTTAAAACTTCCTTTGTAGATGTTTCAAACTGAGGTCTTGGAGGATTCCTTGGGGCTGCAGGTCTTGTAAGGTCAAGATCCTGTATGCAGTAGAGTTGAATAAAATCTGGTGTTAGAGGAGTACCATTCCAGTACATAACAGACTGATGCTTGCAATATCTTCTGGTGGATAAATGTTATTTAGATAGCTAAAATACTATAACAATATCTTCTGGTGGTTCACAGTTGTTTAGGCAATAGTGGATAAGACTAGCAATTTCTTTCTGTTTGACAAACATCTATCCGACACTTAATATGGAACGGAGGGAGTACTACACTGTGTACGCTAACTCCGCAGAATCTAGCTCACACATTTAGCCACGCTTCCTGAATACTTGTATATGCTAGACTAAATCTCAAGACTGCAAAGGAATTGTGATCTCTCAAATAGTACTTGAATCACCAAAGTAACAAACAGTTATCCCTCTTACCCGGACATTGTAAGTCGAGCCACGCCTGTAATTCACATCCGGCCTGAAATCGTAGTCATCATCATCAACCTCCTCCGTCATATGAAAGGTGCGGGCCGCGTCGTCCAACTTCTCGTTCATGCCATCGTTTAAGGAATCGAAACCGTCCATGAACCCACCATTGCTACTCCCCTGACCAAACTCGGGCCGACCAAAAGCACCCATTCCAGAGCCCGTGCCGTGTCCCATTCCAGAGCCCGTGCCGTGTCTACCAAAGGAGCTCCCAATCCCATCGAGCTTCCCGAAGAATGACTTGTCATCTGACTCAAACAGACGTTTCTCAAAGTCGTCCGCACTCTCGCCCGCGCCCTCTCCTGCGAAGCAACATTCACAGCAAACCGGCGTGTGAGAAAACAGCATCGCTAGAGCACTTTAAACATCAATTCCCCAAATATCACGCGTGTCGTCATCGCAAAATGAAGGGGTTTAGCACGCGAAAGCTAGAGAAAATGTTTGATTTGAACCTAGATCTCTCCCGCCGCCATTCGATTCGATGTTTTGGTTGTGACGGAATGGGGAACGGGTGAGCTAGGTTCGTATGTCGGAAATACTAAGCGGGAGAGGAAGGGAGGGGCTGGGGGTGCTTACCGGACAGGAAGGAGCGGCGGAACAAGGAGGCTGCGGCGGATGATGGGTCGGAAGTGAGCAGGCGTCGTGGAAGAGATCGTCTCAGCGCCGAGCTCGCCATCTCGCTCAGTACCTCGTCGCCGGCGCCGCAACCCGCAACCCGTCACCAGAGAAGCGAAGCCAGGGATGGGGGGTTTGGGGCTTCTTTTTGCGTTTCAGACCCGCCGTAGCTGGCCATCTGGGCCGGCCCGGCCCGACCCAAGGCTAAATGTACCTGGCATGGCATGTTTACTTAACAGGCCGTGTCGTGCCTGTCCTGCCGGTCAACGTGCCGCGACCCCACAGGGCCGGTGGATCCTATATGACGCGCGTGAGCGACCAGGAGCTGAACCTTCGCTGAAGCGATCCCCCACTTGGGCCGGCCCACGTACGATTTCCTGTGCCGTTTTCCTTCGCTGCTTCTGCAGTTTTTTTTTAATTTTCTTCTGCGGTTTTTTGCTTCCAGTTTTTCATTGTTTTGTCCGGTTTTCTGTTGTTTTGTTCAGTTTTTTTTATTTTTCTGTTTTGGTTACTTTTTTGTTTCATTTTCTTTTACATTATTTTTTTATTTTTCTGTTCTGTTTCTTTTTCTGTTTTCTTCTTTTTATTTGTGTGTTATATAAAATGTACACTGTGTATTACAAGAAATTTCATTGTATCAAGAAAAATGTTCATTTTATATTATGAAAATTGTTCACCTTTGCATATGAAAAATGTTCATCGTGTATTAAAAAAATGTTCATCGTATATTAGGAAATTGTTCAATGTTTTTTTACTAAATGTTCAATGCGTATTCAAAAATTGTACAACACATGTATTCATATTGTTCCAAAAAAGTTCATCATGTATTATTTAAAATGTTCAATGGATATAAAAAATGTTCAGTATATATATTTTGGAATTTTTTTATTTTGGTTTTGGTTTTTCAACAAATATACAAATGTTTACTATGTTTCTTAATTTTGTTCAGTGTATATTACACAATGTTCAATGTGTATTCGCAAATTGTTCAACGTATTTTTACAATACGTGTTTGAAAATTGTTCAGCGCATATATTCATAATTTTTCAAAAATGTTCATCGTATATTAAAATAAGTCATCATCTATTATTTAAAATATTCAGCTTAATTTAAGAAAATGTTCAACAGATATCGCAAAATGTTCAACGGATATTACAAAATATTTTATGTGTACTTAAAAAAAGATTCAACAGTGTATGGAACTTAAAAATTCGCGCCTCGTATTATCAGAGTTCATCACTGGTTCCGACGGTTAGCAAGCTAGCTTTAAAAATGGAGGTCGTGAGTTCGAACTTCTGCGGGCACATGAATTTTTGTTTCTTTTTTTACTTCTGAGCTCGTTTCCTCCTAATGGGTCGGCCCATGCGCTCCTCCTTCAGCGAATGCTCGACCATTTGCCGCCCGCGCGCGGCAAATAGGAGCTCTTCCCAGGGCCATGCACGGACTCCTTAGTAAATGGTCGGGCCAGCGACACGTTAGGCTCGTGTGGGCCGTGTACTTTTCGGCCTAATGTTGTTTTGGGGCCATTCGGCCTGTTTTGGGGCTATTCGTTAGGCTCCTACTCGCCGCTCGTTGCGGCAAAC